ATCCTCTAACAGATCAAAAAAGTCATCCTAATGGAGTTGAGCAGTCATTTTTCCCTCAGAGAGAAGGTCAATACTGCATGCAAATTAACTTATGTATGATTTTAAAGATATTTGCAATGTTTGGGGTTACACTTAGTGGAAGGACTAGTGACAGACAAGTGCGCACCGAATTAAAAATGCATTTCTCTCAACAGTACTCCAATTAACCTATGAAACTACAGCCGCCGTAGGAAGATGTGAATGTTTACGCGAATTAGCTCGTGAGGAAGTTGATATTCCGATAACTTGGAGATGACAACAAATACTGTGAACGATAGAATGCACAAAGTCAGCCCCACTAAATGACAAAAAGGGGTGAGGAACATTTATCAATACTGCTTCATTTCTAAGACTTTTTAAAACCTCCTCAAAATGTTTTTAAACATAGGATGCTGTTGTTTTGTTCTTTTTCCGGCTGCAAGGAAAGTTCAAGTTAACAAGCTCAGAATACCTGGCTTGTAGGCCCTGGGACTAGTGTTCCAGAAGTCCTGATAACTTACGTAAAGCTATTTATTTTCTCATGCAGTCAATCTTTAGTGTTTATTAAAGCTTGAAAGTATAATACTTACTTGATTAAGAAGATGGGCTAGTTTATACGGGACTAAAATCTACAGCGCCACTTGAAAGAAAATGGACTCAAATAGTCGCTCTCGGAACCGATCTGTCTTCCGGGTTTTGAGAAACGCATCCGTGCCTACTACTTATTTTGAGAGAGCTAAGCTATAAATCGCAAGATTGTACGTAAATTTCCGTGAAAATGACATTTATTGTTAGTTTCTTGGCCTCGTTGCTGTACTTTTACAAGAGATTCAATTTATCTTTCCAGACCGTAGCCAACACATCTCTTTCGGTATTGGGTCAATTATAAACTATCCAGGTCTTGCAAAAGGCCCTTCGTATGTAGAGGAAAATCTGTGATCATCAGTTACCTCTATTTTCTGGGACTCTCTGTGCTCTATGGGAGGAACTGGTTACGCGGTTCTGCCGCC